GAGAGAGAGAGAGAGAGAGAGAGAGTCAGCTCATGATTAGAAAAGATACACAAAAGTAAGAAAAAACAGAATATTCTGCGAAAGAATCTCAGCTCACTCACAAAATCACTCAAAAGAAAAAGAAAATGAGCCACCTACTTTGTTCTCATCGTTTGCCTTCAGCTGTTGATCTCGTTGATTTTCGCTTTTGTTGTTAGCCTCACCGTCGCCGCCTGACGAGAGCGAATGATGATGATGATGAGATAGAGACGAAGAAGAGGACGTTGAAGAGGATGATGACTGCAGCGAGTAAAAGGTGTGATCACTGGTAGCTTTATGGTGGTGGCTTCGATGATTGCTGCGAAGCTTATCATAGAGTTTGTGGTGTTGATAGGGATGAGGATGAGAATGATGATGATGGTGTTGATAAGACTCAGTCTGCAGAGAGTCCAAAGGCGGCGGCGAAGTCCTCTTCTTCTTATCATTCTTCATCAGCAGCAGCAGCTGTCCACTGCTCTTTCGCCGCTGGTGGCGATTGTGCAGTATGACGAGGTGAATTGATCTCTGCAAAATAAAAGTAAAGTTAAGTAAAAAAAACTCCCAAAAATCTTCTCCCTCAAGCCACAAACCTTCCACCGCTGTCGAACCAAGAAGAAGTGCTGCTCATGCTCATCATCAGCCGAGTCCAACTGGCCAGTACTTCCTCGTCCTGAACTTCCACCATTTTCAGGACATTNCACAAACCTTCCACCGCTGTCGAACCAAGAAGAAGTGCTGCTCATGCTCATCATCAGCCGAGTCCAACTGGCCAGTACTTCCTCGTCCTGAACTTCCACCATTTTCAGGACATTTCAAGACATTGTTATCACAGCTTTCTTCAGAACTTCCAACACTTGTGGTACTGGTTGGAGTCGTCGAACCATTTGTGGGCGTTCCTGAAGAGCTATTTCCCAGCGAGCTAGGTCGTTGGTGGTGGTGACGATGGTGGTGATAATTATCAGAATCACCAACTTTCTGAACAAAGGTAATATCTTCATCACAGTCTTCCTCCTCTTCTTCATCATGATAAGAGGCATTTTTCGAGGAGGAGATGATAAGAGGCTTATCAACCAGCTCCTCCTTCACCACCCACGGATGGGCCATCGCCTGCACCGCAGTCATCCTCTTTCGAATGTCTTTCCGCAGACAGGCGAGGATAAAGTCCCGAGCCTCGGTTGATACTTTCACATTATCAACATCGTTATCATCTCCGAAATCAAAGGCCGCCGCGGTGATATTCGCAAAGGTGTCGTGCTTATCAACGCCCAGAAAGGGCGAACTCCCGTAGAGCATCGTGTAGGCGATGCAACCGACAGACCAGAGATCGGTGCCAAAGCCAATCGGCTCGTAGTTGAGTATTTCCGGTGCTGGAAAAAAGAAGTTCGAGAATTAAAAACGAGAGTTCAATAAATTAATCAAAAACTTACCAATAAACTCCGGCGTCCCATAAACTCCCTTAATGTCGGCCTTCTCCTTCAACAGCCTCGAGATTCCGAAGTCAATCAGCTTAATCTGCCGAGAGCCCTCCTCCGTGAGCAGAATATTCTCCGGCTTGAGATCCTAAAGTAAAATTTTAATATCAAAACGTTAGAAAAGTCAAAAAATAAAAAACTCCTCAAAAACCTCCTCACCAAATGAACAATCGACTTCTCATGAAGATGAACCAGGGCGGAAAGAATCTGTCTCATAAAGAGGCGAGCTTCCGCCTCAGTCAGCCGCTCATAGTCGGCAATGTAGTCCTGCAGTTCGCCGCCCTTCATTCTAAAAGGAAAGGGGAAAAAGGATTAAAAATCAAGAATAAAAAATGCACAAAATTCTCATTTTAGAATTTCACTTACAGCTCAAAGACGAGAATGACCTGCGTCACGTCTTCAAAGACGTCCACCAGCTGAATGATGTTTTCGTGGGGTGCCAATTGGCTGACAATGGCAATCTCCAGCTCAATGTCCTCCGTCTTCTGGCCGAAGCGGGCCGAGCGAGACTTGCGAATAAACTTGGCCGCCACCTCTTGCTTTGTACAGTTACTGTTGCCACTTTCTTTGTGGCCGACATTAGTGGCATTCTTCACGCACCGCTTCACAACGGCAAATTTGCCACTTTAGAAAAAGGAGAGGGGAGGGGAAAAAAGAAGAAGAGAATCAATTAATAAAAGTGGTGGTGGTAGCAATCAATGAGGTTGGAAAGAGTTGAAAAGAAAGTAACTACTGAAGAAGAAGTAGAAAACTCTCTGAATGAATAAAAGCCTGTATATCTTTAGAAAAAAGATAGGGTGAGAAAATTTTGCAGTATTAAAAGGAAAGAAAGTCTAATCGTCGGTAAACACAACGACAGCGAAAATTTTCGTACAATTTTCCACTTTCAGCAAAGCGTTGACAATTTCTATTGTCAATTCACTGATTTGATTTTTCACACCAGAGCTAGCTAGCTAAAACGTTGTCCCCTAATCTAATTCAACTCAAATTGATCAAAACACTGGTCTACCCCAATCTAAAATTAATTTACAAACAGAAAAATACAAAGAGAGAAAGAGAGACAGAGATTGGCCATGCATTATTTATATCTCAGCAGGAGAAGAAATGAATGAATGAATGAAAAAGCAAAACTAAACCGCCAAAGTGGCCATCAAAAAGCCATCATCATGCCAACCCTATCCCTCCTCAAATTCTCTCTAGATTAGATTAGATTAGATTGCTTCTAAACTGTTTATAAACGCCTCTTCAGCTAGATCTAGTGCCAGCAAATCTAGAAACAACTAAATAGAGAAGAGGAGGTTTCAATCAGCAGCAGCAGCAGCACTAAACACCGGGCGTCCATAAATACATACAGACACTACTACTACATACATAAAACATGCCGCTAATAATAATCAGCTGTTGCTCACTGTGTGTTTGGCACGGACATTTCACGGACATAGTTGAGACATCGAAAGAAGAAGAGGCAAATAAAGAAAGAAAAGAAAAAAGAACGGTCTCTAAAAAAGAAGCAAAACAGCTTCAGAGTCAGCTGATCACTTCTTCTTCTTCAACATCATCATCTTCAAAGTAATGATGAGAGCGCCCTTGAAAAAAAGGGGAAAAAAGGAGTCAGCAAATCGATTCGATCCAGATCACCAAATGCCATCATTACCATCATCACAACAAAAACAAAACAACATCAGCAGCAGCAAAAAGAGAAGGTCCATTAGAGATCAAGAAGAGAGGAAAAGGACTACCATCATCATCATCATCATCATCATCATCGTTCAATCACACACTCAATAAAAAAACAAGTAAATCTAGAATAGCTTAAAAGGAGTTCAATCAGTTTAGACTGCAGTCCTCCTCTATCGAATGACTATGGAGCAAAAAGAGAGGATCAAGTTCAGAAGATCAAATTACGGCAATTATCGACTACTACTACTACTGACTACTACAAAATGGAGTTTAAAGTTGAATCAATCATCAAAACTTTCCAACTGCCAGTAGCAATTATCAACCATTTATCTTCAACAGCTTATCAACTGCTGCTGCTGCTGCTGCTGCTCCCGGGTAGCAATTACATTACCGAGAAACTGAAACTTCTTAGTTGCCAATAAACGGCAGCAAAGTATGAAGACTTTGATTAAATTCTCACCGCCGGTAATTAAGCATATCTTTAATAATAATACGCCGGTTAAGTGAAAAAGAGAAGAAAGAGGTTTCTTCCTACAAACTCACATCCGTTTGCCGTAAAACCTCGTGTCCTAGCTCGCTAATAATTTTAAATTAGATGGTAGTAAAAAGAAGAAGAGGTTGCACTACTTTTTATTACCTTCTAAGCTTTCTTTTTCAGCAGTAAAAGCACCACCACCCACGTTTGCACTGTACAAAAATACAAAAACACAAAACAAGAAAACCTTTCACTCTTTTGAACCAGTGTCAATTATTAAACTCTCTTTGTCATCCAGTGCAGTGCACTTTAATTTGATGAAGAGGTGGACGGACACTTCACCGAAATTGTTGTCACACTTGCTTACATTTATCCGGGCTCTCCTTTTCTTTAAGAAAGTTAGAAAGAGAGAGAAAGAGAAAATTAGAGTGACAATAAGTTGAGTGCTATGTAATGACTGACAGAAAGAAAACAGCCGACTTCAAAGCGAATGAGTGAAACTGAAAATGACAAATATCCTCTTTTCTCTTCTCTCTTCAATGGCCAACAACTTTCATTTGAGCGGGGATTAGCTAATTGAGACTTAGCCAGCAGTTGTTGTTGTTGTGAGAGCAACAGACAGTTTTACCCGCTTAAATTCAACTCGGACAATGGTCATCAGAGACAACGGCCGTCTTTGATGCTGCTTTTCTCTTCTCCTCTTTAGTGCAAAAAAAGGCAGCAAAAAAGGAAATGGTCAAAACGGCAAAATTATTAAACAGACACTGCGGTACAAGTACTACAAAAAGAAACTTCATAATTTGCATAACAAGACGCCTCTCAACAACAACAGCCACCAAAATAAAAAACAATTGACCAATTGACGGCGGCGGCGGCAGTGGCGGCGCCCAAAGGGCCGACTAAAAATGTCAAAATTGAGAAAACGAAATTGAGAGAAACTGAGACTGAAGTAAACAAAGTGCCAAACAGCACTTTGGTCAACACTACACTAAAAGGAAACTGCCCTCATCGCGCAACTGTGTTTTGCATAATTTTCCTTTCTTTCTCCTTTCCTCTTCTTTCTTCTTCTGCTATTATTAAATTACATTTTGCTGTCATGACACAAGCTGTTGTTGTTGTTTTAAAATAACTTTAAGTAGCGGCCCATAGGCCGCTAGCGACGTGGCTTTGAGAAGTTCGAAGTCAGTCGCCTGTTTGTATATAAGCAGCTACTCTTTGCCATTAAAAGTCAGTCTGGACTACGTATGCTTGTGTTCACTCTCACTCAGCGCTTCTTTTAGCAAAAAAAATAAAAAATCCTGCCACCAAAACACTAACTAACTTTTCGAGTCTAGTCTGGTCAATTCAATTACCAGCTACAACAGCAGTCCAAATTGAAGGAATCAATAAAAAGATGGAAAATTGAAAATGAGGTAAAAAATTGAAAAAAGAAGATAAAAATTGAATTCCGCTCTCCTCTGACCACTTACCTGCCAATCTCCTCGCACACCTGATACTGCTCGGCAAAGGCGGCCAGCGGAAGGCGCTGAAGATGAGATGCGGCCATCGAAGTTTGAATAGCAGAAGACGCCGGCCTGATTGACATGATTGACACTGATGGTGGTGGATGCTACTTTGGTGGTGGTGATATTTTCGATGGGTGGTATTTCGGGGACTACCACTGATGATGGTGGTGATGGTGGTGATGATAATGACGGTGGTGATGGCGACAGAAGCAACGACGGTGGTGGAGTAGAAGTTATCAGCAAGAGCGTTGATCAACAGTGAAGTGAGGCAGTAAAGTGAGGCAGGGGAGATAATCAACAGCAGCAGTGACCAGAAAAGAAAAAAGATGACCAAGAAGAAGAAGGTAGGTCAAGAAAAGAGAAGGACACAAAAAAAAGAAGTGAAGAAGGAGTTCAGCAAGTAGTGGTGGTGGCGGGCTGCTCATCAATCAAACTGAAATGGCAAAAAACACAGCCGCTGTTGTGGTTGTCTTTGTTGCACTAAAAAAGATGAATGAAGGAATGGGGCACAGAGTTTGCTGGAGTAGTAGTAGGTTGTTGTCATCGGCTGTTGTCAGATTTTTGCTGCTGCTGCTGCTGCTGTTGGACTGCTCTTATCTTGAAGAGAGCGAGATTTGTTTGCTGTTTGCCGAGAGTTGTCGTACAACACAGATGAAGAACTAGTAGCGATGGTAGCGGCTGCGACGGTCCTCCTCCTGTGATAAGAGAGAAAATGACAAAATTAGCAAAAAAAAATTGAGGATGATAGAGAAGAACAACAGCAAAACAAAAAAACAAAAAGTACAAAATGAAAAGCAGAAAAGAGGGGCAGCAGAAGAG